AAATTTTCTTTTGTTCAAAAAAATATGTCTTAATAACCTACTAATAACTATTCTCTTATTAAAAATTTCTCAGGTTAAAGTTTAAAAATATAATGTTCGAATTTCACTCTTAAAGTCTAAGAAAATATAAATGATTTTATATAATATTATAATTATAATATTATTAAAAAATATAAATTATGATATAAAAAGGCATGTCTCAATTAATTTAAATTGAACAAATTACAGAACAATTATCCTTATATATTTTCATCTGCTTGATAACGACAGTGTCGTACACAGGGTTTATCTGGATTATCATCACAATATATTTACGTACTGTAACTTGGTTGACTTTAAGAGACAGGATAACTGGATAACTATTGAGCACCATAATTGTGGAGTGTAGTCGGTATATAATTCTGATTTCCGACATGTGCTTCATTAAAGAAGGCAAACGCTGTTAATCTGGTTTTTTTTTTTTTTTTTCTTTTTAGGCAACCCTAGTGTTTCAGTCTAATGACTTAAATTTTAAATTAATGCTCATCATTTTTCGTGGATTGTGTATTTAAATTTTATGATTTTTTTTTATTTTTATTTACTTAATATATATATTAATTTTAAAAAATATTTTTTAAGGTTAATTGAGAAAAAAAGAAGAAGAATTAAAACCAAAACAACTAAATAAATAAGGACTGGTGATTTTTTCTGTTGGCCAAAAAATTAAGATATAAATAAATAAAGAGTAGTGCAATAAGAATCCACAGTACTACATACCGGGATTTCAGGGTCAAAACTTGATATATATGCAGAAGTCAATAGTTGTAGTTGGGAAGTTGTCATACATTTCAAATTGCATATTTTCAAATACTATGTCTTGGGAAGAAGACATCACAATTATATATTTCACATGGTGCAATGAGTCCGGTAAATTTTTAATATGCAATTTGAATTTCATTTTCAACAATAGAATCCCTATATGATGGTTTGGTGATAAGTTTCCAGATGGTTGATAATTAAATTGTTATGAACACTTATCAATTTAGAAGATATGATTCAACATATCAAGTATGTAATAGGTTTTTTTAGTGAAAGGTGTTAATTTTGAAAAATAATTAAGACACAATCAAGCAACATTACTATTTGTGATGTTAGGTGCAACAAGAAAGTAGAATTCGATCATGTTCAAATTTGAAAATTTTTGCAGATTAACATGATTAAAATATACATGACATTAAAGTTTGGGAGCTTTATAAATAAAATAAAGAGTGAAAGAAAAAAGAAAAAAAAATTGAAATTACGTGAGACATATAATTACAAAATTAAATAAATTGACCAAAAAGAGATTAGGAGAAATTTTTTGTGATCAATTTCATAAATTACAACAAAAATAAGTATAAATTAATTCATGAACTTTACTATTAAGGAAAAGATCGATGGAATGCACTTGCACAGTTTTAGTTGTCTGGAGACTATTGATATAATAGTTTTAAATTAATAATTAACAGTTTTATTTAATTTAATTAATAAAAATATTTAAATTAATAATAATTATTATTTATTAAATTAAACGAAATTAATTCATGAACTTTACTATTAAGGAAAAGATCGATGGAATGCACTTGCACAGTTTTAGTTGTCTGGAGACTATTGATATAATAGTTTTAAATTAATAATTAACAGTTTTATTTAATTTAATTAATAAAAATATTTAAATTAATAATTATTATTATTTATTAAATTAAACGAAATTAATAATTATTAATTTTAAAATATTATAGCAGGCAGCTATTTGTCATTAGCCACAGATCGACTAGGACTTGTACCACCCACTTTCCCTAATTTCACAATAATAGTGTTAAAAAGAGTGAAGGAACTTTTCTCATGATTCCTTCAGCGAACAAAATGATCAAAACATGGAATGGAATAGACCAATGCCTAATTAGAGGCCCAACACGCAAGAGTAGACCTAACCTATCAATTAAGGCACTCACAAAAATTCAGATCCTCTCCTGATCAATCCAAGGAGCTACTTTCATGTGATGTGTTATTGTATTACTTTCATATGATGTGTTATTGTATTTTAGTATATTATTAGTGGTATATACTTGGGATTTGGATGGAATCAAATAAATTTCAATTGAAATGGAACCAAATTTTTAAATTTTAATAATTTGTTCTCAAATCATAAATATTTAAATGTTATCAATAAAAAATTTAACTCTCACATCATCTTGAAAAAAAATCTCCTTCCCTTAAATTCTCCCATATTCAAAAATATAAAAAATAAAAAAATTCAATTGAAATGAAATGACACCGAGGCCACTTGCTGTGTCATTTTTTTTTTTTACAAAAGTAATAATTAGATTAATAAGTTAATATCTATTATAAGAGGTATGAAACTTAAGATCAATAGTGCATTCCATCGACTACTTTCTTGGACAGCAACGCCACAACAGGGGAATACTTGATGTGCCATTTTTTTTTTATAAGGATAATGATTAGTAATTTAGTATTATTAAATATTAATAATTAGAGATTCGATCCCAAATTTAATAAATAACTCACCTGCCACAATGAAACGTGTGACCAACGCGTGAGGCACGTGACCAACGGGGCGCCTGGTGGAATTCACTTGCTGCTGTGCCATTTGGTTTACCGATCCTTAAGAGCAATGCTATGAACACTGGCCATTTGCACTCTCCAACCAACACTTTCATTTTCATTGGACCACGTTACGTTGGTCGTGGAGAGGTAAATAGGTAATCAATTCATACCGAAACCACCTTACGTGGCCCAATAAAAAAGCATGTGTTGGCTGGAGAGTTTAGGAGGCGGGTGCTCCTAGCACTGCTCTTACCTTTAAACCTTTGAAATTGTGTCAGCGCCACGTATTATAAATAACGAATTCTGTGAGCTGAAGAAATCAATGACGTCGATGAATTTGTAGTCTTGTAAGTATATCATAAAT